GGGTCACTTTGGTACACAACGCACAACACTTAAGGTTTTAGAATGTGGATTTTATTGGCCTACTATCTTTAAGGATGCTAGAACTTTTTGTATGACTTGTGATCGTTGTCAAAGAACGGGCAATATAGGTGCAAAAGATCAAATGCCACAAACCCCTATCTTTTCTATTGAGATTTTTGATGTTTGGGGTATTGATTTCATGGGCCCTTTTCCTTCTTCACATGGTTTTAATTATATCTTACTTGTTGTGGATTATGTTTTGAACTGGGTGGAAGCAAAAGCCACTCGTACCAATGATTCCAAAGTGGTTGCAGATTTTATTAAAACTAACATATTTGCAAGATTTGGAATGCCACGAGTACTTATAAGTGATGGGGGCTCTCACTTTTGTAATCGGACCATAGAGGCACTACTTAAGAAGTATAATGTCACGCATAAGGTTTCAACACCTTATCATCCCCAAACAAGTGGACAAGCCGAAGTTTCCAACTGGAAAATCAAGCAGATCTTGGAAAAGACAGTTGGACCAACTCGAAAGGATTGGAGCTTCCATTTGAATGATGCATTGTGGGCATATCGTACTGCCAAAACACCAATTGGAATGTCTCCTTTTCGGCTCATTTATGGGAAACCATGCCATCTTCCAGTTGAGTTGGAGCATCGTGCACATTGGGCAGTCAAGACTTTCAACATGAACATTGATGCCACTGGACTTCATAGGAAATTGCAATTGAATAAGCTTGAGGAAATTTGGACTGAAGCTTATGAGAACGCTCATATTTACAAGGAGAAAACAAAGGCTGCCCATGACAAGATGATTCGTAGTAAAACGTTTTCTGTGGGGCAGAAAGTGTTACTTTTCAACTCTCGCCTTCGTTTGTTTCCGGGTAAGTTGCGTTCTAAATGGATTGGTCCTTTTGTTGTTACTAATGTTTTTCCCTATGGTGCAGTCCAAATTCAAAGTTTTAAGACGGGACATGAATTCAAAGTGAATGGACACCGTTTGAAGCCATACTATGAGTCTTTTGAGGAGCATGTAGTGGAGGATGTACCCCTCCATGTCGTTGGCCCTAGTGAAGCTTAAAGGGAGGTACCATCCGGCTGGAAGACGTTAAATCAAGCGCTTCTTGGGAGGCAACCCATGTGTTCAAATAGAAAGACAACGGAATCTCCGGGCTCTACAACCAGATTTTCTCTCTTTTACTCTTCTCTTTATTATTTTTATTTTGCTATGATTGTCTTGTTTGCTAGTTGTCTCTTATTACTTTCTTGTTTAAAGTTTTCTTTTGAAACATTGAGGACAATGTTTAGTTTAAGTGTTGGGGGTAAACAGAGTGCTTTTCGTGATTTATTTTCAAAATTCACCACCTATCACTACTAAT